AGACTTAAGGCTTAAATCACCTATTGCAGACCGGAACTTATATGTATATCGATGGTTCTACTTACGCTCTCAGAATTACTTTGTGTTCATCAAATATTAGTAAAAACAAATGATGATCACGAGTGTTACGATCGTTAAAAGTGAAACGCAGCCAGAATCAAAGGTATGGATATAATGTCCAGATTCCATGCTGGTATAGTCGTATGAGATCGAAACATTTATAAAAAATCTGTATTTACAAGTAGTTATATATTTTTGCTTACTGATATTCTTGTTTACTGATTTTGATTAACAATGAAAGTAAAACATAATAAGACAAAGGAAGAAAATCCTAGATATATACCGTTAGATATAAGGTAAGCGAAGTAATTCAAGATTGAATGGAAATTGATGTATTCATCGAATGTTTACATGATAGAAGCAAAATTTCTAATTATACAATTCTTTATAAATTAAATTTCTATTTATAAGTTTATAATTCGATATCCTTTTCCGTATGTTAAATAATCAAAAATGACTGTTAAATAATAAACATTTCTATTCACATTAACAATATAGCATAAATATTGTCGTGATTAGCAAATTAATCGTAGTTTGTTTAAAATTATTCTCTAATGATGTATGAAATATCAATGCAGCATACCGACTTACTAATTTTTTATATTTCTGATTTCAGAAAAGTGAAAATACGGAAAATACAGAAAAAGACAATAAAACCTGCTTGCAAAGATACCACTATGAACTTGGTGAATGACACATGTGCCAAAAATATAGAGAATATTTCTTCATCGAGCAATCCAGTTTTCAAAGAGAGCATTTCCAAAGAAAAAATAGCTATACAACAAGTTAATCTCAAGCATAAAAAAGAATATTCTGATAAAGAAATTGATAGTGAAACATTTTATCTTAAAAGTAAGAAATATAAAATTTACCTTTTTCATTTATATTATTTTTAATTGATATGTTGATTTTTATATATCTAGATAATTAGAATACTTATTATACTTAATTATGATTCTTAAGTCTACAACCAGACTTGCAACTTTTTGAATTTTAGAAATAAATGATTCCATTAAATGTACTCTTGACCAACAAATGGAAACACAAATAGGTGATAGTTGGAAATTGATTCCTGAAGAAGAGATACAAGATGATGATTGGCGTCAGGTAATTGTCAAAGAACAAAAACATTTAGATACACCAATTGAAATTTCAGATAGTGACAGTTTGGTAAATTTTCCACAAATAGTTGAAGATAATCAAAAGACAGGATTAGATAAGAATCACAAAACAACTTGTGATGACATTTTAACGTTAAATATTTCAAGTGAGGTAAGTGCATAGTTGCTTCATCCAATAGTTTTAAAAACATCTCTATACATATAATATTTAAAACAGGTGTCATGTACATCATCAAATGCAGTTAAAAATGATAAAAACAAAGATGTTAGTGATACATCAAAAAACATTGATAATGAAAGTAATCCTGTTGAAAATCTTACATATAGAGAATTTGTCGAAGATAAAAATTCTGGCTCAATAAATTATGATAATGATTTAGAAGCATGTAGTGGTTCTGAGCAAAGTCTTAACTTGCCTCGACGTTTACGTAATAGAAAACCACCAAAAGTTTATTGCATTAAAAAAATGGTTGTGATCATAATGGAGAGAGGAAGTAGATTTAATTTTATTGGCAAGCTGTTAATAAAAGTGTTATATGGTTCTGTGAAAATCTATGGTTTCATAATGAACAAATTGACCAAAGCTACGAAAGTATATTCTCCGCGAGGATATAGTAATATCGTTATAGAGACTAACAAGGAATTGTTGGAAGATAGTATTGATGACGTGTGGAAGGCGCTTGCTGCAAAAGGCATCAATCGAGACTTTGAAAATCAACTGCAGATTGATATCGATAACATCCGACCGGGAATGGCTGTCCTCATATTGCAGAATTTCGAAAACACTCTGACACATTTCTTGGAAACCTACTTTCCATTCAAATTATTCCCAAAAATGAAGAATTCCTACTCTTACTCTTGGACAGATCCTAAGCGAGCAGCGACAATATTACAAGCGAATCTATATCTTAATCAGTACGATAATTTTAACAATAAATTGATTGTCGATTCCTGTATTACTCTAGATGTTACAGAGAAGATGTTGGATTGTTGGTTCAAAAATGAATGGTGCTGTGCATTGATCGCCGGTGGTAAAAACGTTGGCAAGTCCACCACTGTGCGATGTTTGATTAACAGCCTATTGCGTACGTCAAAGAAAGTAGTTTTGGTAGACATAGACCCTGGACAATCGGAGTGCACGCCATCCAGCTGCATTTCCTACAGCTTGATCGAGGAGCCATTAATGGGACCCAATTTTACACATCTGAAAGTACCGGTCTACCAACTTTTTATCGATGATGTATCTGTCAGCCGTTGTGTCACACGCTATTTGGAAGGCGTTAAGATGTTGATCGAGAAATTAAAGGAATGCCCTCTCTTATCTCTCTTACCCATTGTAGTTAACACAATGGGTTTTACAAAGGGTCTCGGTTGGAACATCGCAATGTTCACGATAAAATTGATCAGGCCATCAATTATCGTACAAATTGTGTCGTCAAAAAAGAAAAACAACTTCGATGATGTTTTAAGTGCCAAAGTTGTAAATAAACAGGTAATATACAACTTCTTTAATAATTCGACAATTTCGATTAACGACATTTGTCGTTAAATGATCAATTTCTAGAGAAATTGTGTTGCTAGGAATGCTCGTGGACGTTCTGCGATGAGAAATTCATTAATTGGAACAAGCCGTGCGAACACGATTTATTTATAATGTATTCTCAAGCGGAGACCGCCACACAAAAAAAGAAGTGGAATATGGAGCCATATCAGCAACGCGAACTTGTTATGATGTCTTATCTTAGCGGTATCGTTTACAACAAAACCGATTCCGAGTAGGTTTTATATTATATTTTCCAGTTTTATAATATTTGTACAATCATTTAATTTTAATTTCGACATTTATTATTTCAGCCAGTACAATTCGGAAATATCGCTTAATATCAGCGAAGTGATACCGTATATGTTAGTATCACGTATCATCATATAAATTAACCCTTTCATATACGCGCATTATTACTGTCATATAACTTACATTTCAGAATTATGAAAATATTTCTATTTTTTTGTTATATTTATGAAAATATGTTTCATTTAATCTTTAAATGAATGATTTTAACATATTTTCATAAATTTGTTAAATAATTTGGAAATGAATGGATTAAATAACAATAAATGCAGGAATTCTGATGACATAAATGTATGTATCCTATTACAGGATGCCTTTTTCTTCTTTATGCATTATACCTCAACGATTATTCGGAGTACCTACATCACACGCTCTAAGTGTCATAAACGCTAATATCGTAGCACTGTGCGGTATAGATTTAACAGAGAAAGCTTCACGAGAATATACAGACATTTCTAATCTTCGAATATTAACGCAAAGATCTCCTTTATGTACATGTTATGGATTCGGTAAGTAACAATACTTTTACATGATTTTCTTTTCTAAAGAAATATTTGCAAATATTTTTTATTGAATATATGAAGAATATTCTGTTTCTTTTTTTAAAGAAATTTAAATATGTGTGTTATTGCACAGGCATAATTCGAGGTATCGACATGGAACAGCAAGAAATATTCATAAATACACCATTACCAATATCAATCATGCAGCATGTTAATTGCTTGGCGGGCTGTATTCCTGTTCCGGAATCATTGATACAATTGTGTCAAGATGTTCCTTATGTCGGTGGAAAGGCAAAGCTACCAACGAGTCGTGAACCTCGCAAAGGATACTTCCGAATGAAATATAAAAATAAACCGACTAAATCATAATAAATCATATGAATATACGATATCTTATATGTTTGAGCATGACGCTTTATATATACTTGTCAATTTTTTAGATTTAAATGAAGTAATTTTTTTTTTTATTTTTAATTTTTTTTATGTCATATATAATATCTTGTATAATATACATGATATGTATATATGTGTATCTCTGTATACATAATTATATAATTTTGGATAAAACCACGCTTTATGAAGAAAGCTATTTATGTGAATTCATATTTTTAAAAATTCACGTAAATGTGAATATTTAAAAACGTGTTTTTAAATGAAATTATAATATATATACAGAATGATATTGACTGTGTCGATAAAAGGATGAATTTATGTAACATCCAAAAGAAAGAGAAATCACTAAATAATAATTACTAAAATCTAAACAATTAATATTTATCATTTTTTGCCCTTCTTTTAGATATTGACATTGATGTAATTAAAGATAAAATATTAATTTATAATTAAGTGACATATAATTAAGAATTATGTTATGTTGAATAATTCACAATATCAGACCAATACTAAATGATATACAATTTAATATGTATAAATATACAGCATACATTTATCATATATGAACATATTACACATATGATCACGTATATGATTATAATATAATTATTGACAAAGGAACATTAAGATTAAGTCTATGTGTAAGGAATAAAAATTTTAGATACATATAAAATTGCAGTCATATAGAAACAACTGGGTAAATATTACCACATTGTGTGTTACTATGAACTATTTCACTGCGAGAAAAATTTTACTAAATCAAAATTTCGTTAAAAATATAATATAGAAGTAAAAAAAATAGAGAAATCAAGAAGTTGACTTTCTCGTTTCATCTTCATTGCACTTAAAATATAAGCATAAAGGTCGTAATATGGCAGTAAGCGTTTGTACGCTCCATGACTTGCCAAGTAATTTTTGCCGATTTGTAGCTGATAAATTTTTTACATCCGTATAATGTCGCGGAAAACCGAAGATTTCCTCGAGCTCAGTGATCCATATCGTATCAGTTTTGCCTTTCATTATGATTGGTTTCAATTCCGCTTTTCCTAAAAAAAAAAAAATCTCGAATCCAAATTATAATAAAAATATTCATGATACATACCTTGCAATAAAGAACCTGTTCTGCCGGTAACTGTGTGAAGCTTCTTACAGAGAGCCTTACGGTTTAAGTTTGGTGTAAGCTTATCTTGAACGTCCTGTCGACTTTGAAACAACGGCATATATGGATTAAAGGGAAGATTATGCCAATAAAGTCTCAGTCTGTGTTGCGGTGAAAAGTCTGCTGAATCTATAACATCAGGTTCTCGTCCCAAATGTCTACAATTAACATGATAAATTATTAATATTACGTAATGCCTTACTTATTGTCACTGGTTCGACAATTGAAGTTAAAAAATAATTTAACTTACTTGTTAATTTCTAATCTATATTCGCTTGGCATAGAAGCTACGTTCTCGAATAACCAAAACATATGCCGACTTTTGTTAGCTTTTTCTACTAGTTTTTTAATTCGGCAATATTCGAAAAAGAGAACACCTGTCCCCTTTGGATCTACAAATAAATCATAATAAATAAACATTATTATTATTGCTTACAAAAGCCTTTACAAGATATATACTGATTGCGCTGATAAGTACCGTGGAGACCTAATCGCGCCGGATTGACCAAACTTAAATCATTGCATGGTGATCCACCGATTAACAAATCAATGGGTGCAATTTCTTGGATTTTCTCCTTTGTTATGCCTCTTACATCTCCTAAGTAAGTAATACGATCACCGAAATGGGCGGAGCTAATTGTTAAAGCATTTACATCGATTTCACTAGCATAATAAACTTCCACAACAAGTCCCAATTTTTGAAGAACCAAAAAACCTATCATACATTATAACATGTAAGATGTAGTTTTCAAGTATAAACTTGCGAAATTGATTATTGTAGAAAGATTTAATATTTAAGATTTAAGATTTTATATTTTTTCCAAAAAATAATGAATACAAATATATCTTACCGGTGCTCAAGCCGTCGAAAAGCGACAATACACGCACAGCTCTATTATCTTTCTTATAATTTACAATGTCTACATTAGATGTAATATTAGAGGCTGTGTGGAACATTCTTGTAAATTTCTCTTTCCAATTTAACCGCGGTCGCAAAATCATATTCATAGGCTGTTTGGCTTCATCTCTACAGAGGAAACATTCCCATGGATCTTCCAACAGCATATCGTCGTATGATTTTGGACAAATCAAAAATTTCAAACAAGCTGTACAGTAGACACTGAAATTAATAATGCATTAAATAATTATATTTCAATATAACATTTCAATATAACATTTCAATATAACAGAAATCTATTTTAAATGTAAATGAACTAACCGTGGACAATCTTCTGAATCACAAATAAGAACAGTTCCAGTAGCAGCGCAAATTGTGCAATAAAACTGAAATCAAATGAAACAAAGCGACAATCAATATTTCAATCTTTAAATATAGCCGGAACTGCCGAATACTTACGCACTTGCCATCGTTTCCATGCACGAACATACACGGTTTAAACTCGTTCTAAAACAAAACGTACAATGTATTTATTATTATTGAATTAAAAATATATTTGTGATGAACAATTTTTTATAATTTATTACTGAAAAAATTTACAAAAATCTTATCTCATACCGAGCATTCTTTACATAAAGATCCTATAAAGAATGGATGTTCATCTTTTCTACCTTTAGGAACCTTCAAACATTTCAAACACAATTTTTCCACTTCGCATTCTCCTGACATTACGCGACGTAAATCATCTACAGTGTAAAAAAAAATCACGAATTAAAGATTGTTTAACAGAACCAATTTGTGATCTATATTGCATAATCTATCTTACCGCTCGCTTTTATGTCACGTTTTCGTTCATCATCTACATCTGATTTGAATTTAAATTCGTTGATTTTTTTTACTATCTCGTCGGAATACTTATCATATACCTTGTTAGAGTCTGAAACTTGCAATTGGTTACATGGTATGTGAATATCATTCGAAAAATATTCAAAGACATTATCTAAAGTCCAGCTATCCACGTTGCATCCTAAACGCGAACAATAATCCTAAAAAGTCAGATCCAAACATCGTGAAAGTTTTTGAAAACTTTTGCAAGAGAATATTCGTTATACATGTCGTACATTCAAATAAGTTGTTTATAAAATTATTGATTAAATTCCTTTTAAATCTGTTACCTTAGAAGCTTGAAGTACGCCTTCAAGATATGTCTGCCTACTCGAATTTTGAATATATTCGCGCATTTTTTCTATTCCCTTGTGAAATTTCAGAAATTCGAGATGACGCACCTATTAAATATAAAATATGAAATAATCATTTAATACATAAAAAAAGAAGAAGAATATCTGATATACAAACATTTTCTTTTTAATTTTTCTTTTTAATTTAAATATTAATATTAAATTTATTTATTACCTCCGAAACTTGATAATCGCCATACCACATGATCCATTGACAGCCAAAACTCGGTTCTTTCAAACAGCAATCGCGATAATCAATAATCATCGCTAAAGGGAATGCGAAAAATTTTTCATAGTTACGAGAAAAGGATTAAACAAATGTTAATAAAAAATAAAAAAAAAACATAGAAGAACAAATGCGCTTATACCGGGCCACCAACAGTGTCCTGGGATTTTTGCCCAGGCTATTACACCAGGCTGTTGATTTTGTAAAGGTAAACGCTCATTGTCAATCTGTTCCCAACTTGTATTTACATCTTTGTTTTTTTCCGTATTCTGTTTTTTCGGTGGTGACTCTGGTGAACCTATCGCCAGAAGTATCAAATTAGCAATTATGCAATTTTCATAAACATACTACAAATATGCATACTACAAATATGCATACTACAAATATAAGAAAGACGTACTTCTTTGACTTAATATATATTTCTTTGTAGCTTTGGCATTCTTTTCCTTCAAAGCATCCAATCTTTCTTGTATATTTTCCGGGTACGGATAAAATGTTAAATCATCCACTGTCATACCAAATAATTTTTCATTTATTCGTAACGATTACGAAGAATTATTCGCAAGGTTTCGTAACTTACATTTTTCCACATCAGCTATGTTCCGTCGTATCCAATAATAATAAGGCTTTGTCAGAGTACAGTTGAAACGTTGGCGAAGCATCTAAAATAATTGTAACGGCACATCGCATTTTTGGAAGTAATTCCTTATGTAATTCTTATTGTCTTTAATTTTATTCTCGAAGAGATATCAAAGAACCTGTATAGTCGCGTTAATGGCGCGCGAACGAATACTTTTATGAGACTGTTGCGACAATCGATCCTCCAAGTTCCTCGAGAATGGTTGTATCTGTGTTTCTTCTTTGAGCTGAAATCATCGATTATATTTCACCATTTCTTCCATCAATGAAGATATTCCTACGTTCTGCTAATTTACCAACGATATTTGCGATTCTCCGAGCCAGTAGACCCACAATTTCCCGGGTTCAGAAGCCATTCCCACATGTTCAGCTTTGACGATCAATGCTGTAACATTAAATTTTCAATTTTAAAAGATCATCACTTCATAAAAAGAGCTTTTAATTAAATAAGCGTTATTTCATATCTAAGGAATAATCACGCATGTCATAAAAATAATATTTTTAATTAGTCAAAAATTTATATTAGGTATTAATATCCCAATTAAACAATAATGTTAAGTTTTAACTTCTCACAGTGAAAGCTGTATTCACGATTATGATTTTACGCAATATATTATATACAATACTCTATGATCGTTATCTTTAATATATTTACCTGGCCACCATCCTGCGAAGAATCCCCATACGAGTTTGCCGGCATGATACTCTTTATGATTTTTAGTTTTTATTAAGGCTCTGGTCACTCTTCGTGGACCATTTTCTATTTTATCACTTTCATCCTCCAAATTATTACTCTTGTCACGCGGATATTGTCGCATTACGTTTATAGTACTACTAGCTTTTGTGGTCTTCGTAATTTTATCTTGAACCTATTATCGTATATATTATATATTATTTATACATGTTAATTTGTTTACGCACACGCACGCACATACACATAATATTTGGAATTACAATATAATATTGCGCGTGTAATTTTTGACTATGTACTAATTATATTTGTTCTTTATAAGTTGGATCGCGATAACTTATGAAATTAATCAAATATTTCGAAAACTTTGTCACTGCTGTCCTCTGATTTTTTTTTAATTATTTCGAAAAACGAGTTACTTCAAAAATATAGATATTGTTATAAAAGTTTATAGCCTATTTTCTTCCTCCACATTAGCTTCGTATCAAAATAATTTTGTAAAATTTAAAAATTTGTTTAATATTAATTTCATAAATAACATATATATATATATAT